GACGTTTGTAGAGGGGAAGTCCCCTCTGAAGAAAATTCGAAGGAGTGGGTGTGTTCAGCATATGGAAGAGATAATGAAGAGGTACCACGATGATCACCATGATGTGCTGTCAAGTCAGGTCTGAATTATGGCAATCCTTTTTTCAGGATTTTCCAGGCAGAGAGTGCTCAGAAGTGGTTTCCCCTTTCCTTCTCCTGGGGGGTGGGGCGCTCTGGGACCACCGTGCAGCTGGCCCAAGGCCACCCAGGCTGGCTCTTCTCGCAGGAGGCACAGCCGGGAATCGAACTCCCAACCATCCGGCTCATCCGCCAGAGACCTAAATCACCGAGCTAGTCAACCAGCTCCTCATAGGTTATGGAAAAGCAAGACAAGCAAGGACAAGGAGTAGCAGAGAATTCCCTCTGCTTAGGTATATGCATTGATGCAACATTTGTGCAACCATCTCTTCAACAGCTTACACACAATTATTTTGCACCTCACGCCATGTGGGATGAGAAGTGAGAAGATGGGGACCAAGTGGCTCGGCCTACGAAGTGGACGATGGGAAACGTCCAGGTCCCTGACATACCTCCTTACCGTTCTTTATCTTTAAACTAGGCTTAGTCTGGCTCGCCCTTCAAACGGAGGACTCTCCCCCCATGAGAAAAGGCACACGACCATCACAATGATAGAGAGGCCCTCTCTATGCATCAGCCCCTTTTGTTCCATTATCCCTTTCTGTGGGAGATGATGGGACTGCTCAAACCTTCTTCCTTCGTCATGGCATCTGACGCCATCTGCGCCCCGTCTCGACCCCAAGCTTGGCAAGCAAACCCTGGCAACCCGTGATTAGTGGCCCCCAGGATCCTCTGTGCCAGCTTTCTTTTGAGGGCATCCCCCCACCCCCAGGGAGGCTGAAGAGGCGTCGTTGTTCCAGCATGGAGTTGCCAATCATAATACAACATGCTGTGGCGAGAGAGAGCCGAGGGAACCGGAGACGTCCAGTTCTAGAGAAGGGAAATGGTTCCTTTCCCAGCAGTGTTTTCTCAAAGGCAGGGTTAGGAATGTAGGGAACCCCATCGGTCCTCTCTTTGCTGATATCTCTTCTATGAAGAGTTGTCAGAGCATCTGAAAGCATCATCCAGAGACTCCTGCAGCCCAGGACCAGTGGAAAGGGAAATAAGAAGATACGGGAATAGGACACAGATACTGCCTGTCACCACTTAGTACCTGGACAGCAGATGGAAAGTGAAAGTTAAGAGGAATGCATTTCCCCAAGGATTCACCCTTTGCCCTCCATGCTATTTCCTCAGAGATTTATACTTCAGCAGGCAGGTTTGCAAAACTGAGTCCACATTCGCCACTTCACAATGACCAGTCAAGAGAGTGACACTCTAACTGCAAGATGAAGAGGTGAGGGGAAAAACATGTCGTGACAAGCGGCCCTCTTTCACTCCTTGAAAGAACACTGCTTCTGACCACATGCTAAGTGTTATCACTTAACACTGAGCAGCAGGTAGGCAGGTCATGCTCTGCCTTACTAGGGTGAGATGTATTTAAGTTCCGTTCAAATTGCAGTAATTAAAAAAATAAAAATAAACAGACATATTATAGACGGTGCCGATTTCATGCAGACAGGCCCATTCCTGTCTTTCATTGGTTGCTTTGTTTTAAGTCCCTAAATAGCCACCATACGATGGATGTCGGCTGACTCTCCAGGCCCCTGCCTCTTCACAAACACTGCAAAGTTCTCCTGCCCAGATGTGCAAAGGGTTTGCAGAGGTTTAGGTTTCCTACGGCCCTGCCCACCCTGTTCAGCAGCTTAGGTGGTTACCTATCTCTGGACCCCCAGCTGGGCATCCAAGGCCTCTGCTGCTGTTGGACAGAGTGAGGCAGCTGCCTCAAACGGCAGGTCCTGGGGTAGGAAAGGTTTTTTGTAACGTCAGACAGCCTGCTCTGCAGCCCCCGAGTGGGTTGGCCAACCTCAAGAAGGTCAAGTATTTATACAAAGAAAGGGGGGGGGAGCTCAGAGGTCAAAGGAGGGCATTGATCTCCATACAATGGCATATGCAAATTTATAGATACATTTACAGAGGTTTTTTTATAATCTAAGGAGAATTTGTTGTTGTTTAGTTGTTAAGTCATGTCCGACTCTTCGTGACCCCATGGACCCAGAGCACACCAGGCCCTCCTGTCTCCCACTGTTCCTGCTTTCACTTCCATACATCACAACAGGAAAAACCATAGCTTTGATTATGCGGACTTTTGTTGGCAAGGGGATGTCTCTGCTTTTTAAGATGCTGTCAAGGTTTGTCATCGCTTTCCTCCCAAGAAGCCGACGTCTTTTAATTTCATGGCTGCTGTCTCCATCTGCAGTGATCATGGAGCCCAAGAAAGTAAAATCTTTCACTGCCTCCATATCTTCCCCTTCTATTTGCCAGGAGGTGATGGGACCAGTGGCCATGATCTTAGTTTTTTTTTTAATGTTGTGCTTCAGACTATTTTTGGCGCTCTCCTCTTTCACCCTCATTAAGAGGTTCTTTAATTCCTCCTCACTTTCTGCCATCAGAGTGGAATCATCTGCATATCGGAGGTTGTTGATATTTCTTCCGGCAATCTTAATTCCGGCTCCCACATATCGATTTTCCAGTCTTTCGCATAATGTATTGTGCATATAAGTTAAATCAGCAGGGAGACAAGATACATCCTTGTTGTTCCCCTTTCCCAATTTTGAACCAATCCGTTGTTTCATATGCAGTTCTAACTGTTGTTTCCTGTCCCACATATCGATTTCTCAGGAGATAGATAAGGTGGTCAGGCACTCCCATTTCTTTAAGACCTTGCCATAGTTTGCTGTGGTCCACACAGTCAAAGGCTTTTGCATAGTCAATGAAGCAGAAATAGATGTTATTCTGGAACTCCCTGGCTTTCTCCATAATCCAGCGCAAGTTAGCAATTTGGTCTCTAGTTCCTCTGCCCCTTCAGAATCCAGCTTGCATTTCTGGGAGTTCTCAGTTCACATACTGCTGAAGCCTACCTTGGAGGATTTTGAGCATCACTCTCTCCATTGTATCTGGGGGAAAACATGGACTCCTGGTGGACTGCAGCCAAAGCAGAATCTACTGTGGGAAAAGGTTGCATTCTGTCCTCCGCATTCCAGCATCCAAAACACCTCAAAAATCTGCTCTGAAGGGCTGGAAATGAACGGCCAGCATTACATGTCGGCATAAGTGCAGTGGCATAACTCTGAGCAGCAAACCACTGCGAAGGAACAAGTCCCTGCTTGAATTCCTAGTCAGGTGCTGAGTCACACAACTGGCACACAACTCGGAATTCCATCAGGGCTAATTTATGAGCAGTTCTTTGCTGGACCAAGTTGTGCCAAGGTTTGTATGCTGGCGTAGATATTCAGCTGGGTGCTAGCCAACATTTACTAATTGCATTCATACCCGGCGTACAGAACGACAACGCCCAGCCAGAGAAGTCCTTTTAAGGGGAACCGGGTAGGACTACATTTTCTCTCTTTCACTTCAGGGAGAAGTGCCCTTGATGTGAGAAATGAATGCACATGGGGCCTGAGTCAGTTCCCTGGGATATTATATAAATAGACCGAGAGAGAGAGAGAGAGAGAGCAAAGGAAATGCTTGTTTCTAATCCCAAGGTCACAGCTGGTACTGATCAGGGAAGGGATTTGCTCCCTCTGCCCAGGGAGGGGCAGAGGAAGCTTCTGAGATTTTCCTTCTTTTGTGTTGTGTTTTCTGTGTGTGTGGTTGTGTGTGCGTGTGTGTGTGTGTGGGGGGGTTGTGTGTGCATGTGTGTGTGTGTGTGTGTGAGAGAGAGAGAGATTGAGATTTGAGGGTGGGGTGGCTTTAAAGCCTGGGAACCTGCCTCCACCTTTTCTGAGCATCATCTAGGAAAGGTGGCGAGCACTTTGACGCTGGAGGCGTTCAAGAGAAAACTGGACAACCCTCGGTCAGATTTCCTTTGGTTTGGATCCCAGCCTTGCGCAGGGGGTTGGAGTTGATGGCCTTAAGGGCCCCCTCCAACTTTATGATTCTACGATTCTATGAAAGAAGAGGGTTGCAATCCATGAAAAGCTCCCACTTTAATAAATCGATTAGTCTCTAAGGGGTCACTGCCCTTGTGTTTTTTCTTGTGTGATACCTTCGGTGCTACACAAATCGAGTATGTTCAGCCTTCCTTGCAAACACCATTTTGCACAAAAGGGAGGATTAGGTTTGGGGAGAGAAGGAACACAACCGAGGGACAGAGGGGGGGGACATGCAACACCATGCATTTTCAGTGCCGATAGAAATCAGGTCTGCGATGTTCACGATTCCTTCTGTTGTTAACGACAGGAGCATCATGACACCAGACAACTCCCTCGTATAAACACTGCAAAAGAGCTGCACTTGAACACGGGACCACCCTCTGTCCGATCGGCTTCGGTTTGGATTCCTGCCCTATGAAGCGGTTGGACATGATGGGCTTCAAGGCCCCTTTTATCGTTAGAAATCAGGTCTGCGATGTTCACGATTCCTTCTGTTGTTAACGACAGGAGCATCATGACACCAGACAACTCCCTCGTATAAACACTGCAAAAGAGCTGCACTTGAACACGGGACCACCCTCTGTCCGATCGGCTTCGGTTTGGATTCCTGCCCTATGAAGCGGTTGGACATGATGGGCTTCAAGGCCCCTTTTATGATTCTATGCAACTCTGCAGCAGAGCAATTGCTCCCAGGTTCCTCCAAGCGATGCCGGCTGGTGGATTCTGGGGTATTCCCCCCCCCAAAAAAAGTAACTTCTCCTAATTCTATCTCAGATCTCTGATCGATGTTGAGAATGAGATTTGCCCATAAATTTAGCGAGCTCCCTCAATCTGAGTCTGTGGATGTCAAACATCCCGTGTGAAACTTGAGCCTTTGCAACAAGGGGGGGGGGGGGGGCTGGAGGAAAAAATTAAACTTCTGGATTCTTTTCTCTTCTGTTTTTTCTTTTTTCTTTTTGGACGGGGCAGGCCCATATTGTGGCTGGAGCCAGCAGAATGATAAAAGAAACGGCAGAGACCGCTTGGGGGTGGGCTGCCAGAAAGCCAGGAGGAGAGTAAAATGAAAGGAAGTCCTGCGTTTACATGATTCTAGCATGTTTTGAAGCACGGAGAAGAGCCGCGTTGCCTTCCAAGTGGCTTCTCAGCTTCACCCTGAGCATCTTCCCCGTGAATCAGGACCGGCCACCAGACCCACCAGAGCGTGGAGCCCTTCCGCCTTAGCTCGCCATGCGGGAAGTCGTCCCCCTCAAGCTTTTGGCCCTGGGCTCCTTGTTGGCCGTCTTCTGGGCCGAGGGCAACCCACGGAGGGCCGCCGAGGGGGGTCCCCGCCGGCGGTCCCATCGAGTGCAACAGGGGCGCTGTACCTACACCTTCGTCCTGCCCGAGGCTGACCCGCCGCCCTGCCAGCACCCTGGGGACACCTTCAACATCAACACTCTTCAGCGGGATTCCCCAGCCAGCCCTTCGTTAAGGATGGATGAGGAGGACCTCTCGGTCCAACGTGTCCAGCAACTCGAAAGAGTCTTGGAGAACAACACCCAGTGGCTGCTGAAGGTAGGGGAAGAGGCAGAGAACCTCCCTTTGTCCGTAGCCGCTAGAAGCATTTGCCAAACTTGTTGGCTGATGGGTTTGGAGAGTGGGAGACCGTGGAAAAGAACTTTTTGCAGGCTCTGGAAAAGGGTCTTTTTGTCAACTGAGGATGATGACCCTGGAGTCCGAGATACGTTGGTTGCCTGTTTTCTCAACAGGATGCCTCCATTTCTTGAGTAGATTTGAGCAGAGTTGTAGCATCCTTAACTTGGTTGCAACAACCATTCAAGCAGGAGATGCCTTCAAGCAGGAAGCTGTCCTCTCATAGAGCAGGGCAGAGGTTCCCCACCTTGGGGTCATCCACGTATGGTTGGACGGCAACTCCCAGAACCCCTGGCTGGTAGTGAAGGCTTCTGGGAGTTGCTGTCCAAGAATACCTGGGTGACCCAAGGGTGGGGAACCTCTGGTGTCGGGCATGGGGTCACCCCAGAGGTGAACAAAGAAGAACCTGTTGATCTTTCTTGAACTTCGGTTGCTACCTCCCTCTGAAGCCAGTTCTGTACTGTTTGTGACTCTTATCTTGGACCAGGATGACATGAAAAACTAAATTTTATCGGGGCCTACTCCAAACTGGTTGCTAGAACCATGCAACGGAGCATGTACAGAATATCTTTCCCTCACAATGAGTTGTCCTTGACAGATTTTTGTTGTTGTTGTTGTTTAGAGCCTCACCTATCATTTTATGGCTCTCGTTTGCTGTTCTGTAAAGCCAACCATGGGAAGCTGATTTACCTACAGACCCTTTTATCCATCTAGTCCAGGGTTGTGTCAAGTCAGACTGGCAGCGATGGCTTGTCTTAAATGTTTCAGGAAGGGGTCTACTCTTACAATTCTTGGAGAAGTTGAACATGACCCCGAGGGTCTCCCATCCAAGTTCTAACCAAGCCGCAATCCTGCTCCACTTCTGAAATCAGTCAAGAGGCCACCATCTTTTGCGGAGGCTCTGATAGTACACAGAGAGGCACGTGTTGCTTGGGATTACTCTGCTGGCTGGGGGATTCTGGGGTTTGTAGTCCCCCAACAGTAAAGGCTCCAAGCTGCAAGGGTGAGTCTCTACTCCCAGCAAATAGGGACTTCTTCCTTCTGGTTGCCATTAGCCCATCATTTGGGATACAAATTTGACCGGAGGTCAGAGGATGTGGTTTCTCACTCTGTACTCAAGAGCTTGCTTTGTTTTCTTAGGCGCTTCTTGCTTCCGGGGCTCCAGTAAATTTAGGCCCATAGAGGATTTGTTGCAGGCTCCAGAGC